GGTAGAATTTATATCTTGAGTTGGTTCGTGGAAAATAATTTATATTTCTTTATTGAAATTTATCATGAAGCATGAAACATTCCTGTTGCATTATTGTGGATTAAAAATATGAATTTATTCATTTGAATTATTCAAAATTTTCATAGCAAATTCAACTACAAATGTACAAAAGCATTAGCCTTCAAATTTTGCATGATAAAAAGAGGACAAATCTTGAATCTGACCAGGATACAGGAATTAATTGTCCCAAAAAACTGCTGAATCTCAATACAAATTCAAGAAAATTCTCTACAGTTAAAACAGTCTGTAATCCATCCCTTGTTAACTATTTTCAGAGTGGAGGATTGGGAGTTTGGGTTGGGGGTTGCAAGAATATGAACAGAAGAAAGTGTACGTTTGGTATGAAAGATTATACGGGAAAAAAAAAAGAAAAAGAAACTAAAATCTCGTTTATTATAGTATCGAGTCCCATGAAAGACAAAGTTAGAGTTTGAGGGACAAGTCTAACTTTTTATGCTCTTCTTGATTAGTCTTAATAGGAGGACCAGCACTGTCCCATCTGAGTCCTCCGATACCGTTGACCACCGACGAAAACTTTTGAACACTGTCAAATCGAGCTGCTCCGCCACTCGATGAACCACCAACGTGATGATTCTCCATTGCCAGCCGGCCAATGGCTGGTTGCTGATCAAGAGGCTTTCTAGACCCGCCATACTGTCCATATATAGTGGATGGTGCTAAAAGACTTGGCTTATGGATTGTGGAGTGCGCTTGAATTGCAAGAGACCTATTCAATGATCCATGCTGTGGCAGTAAACCCATGCTAGAATACCGATACTGGTTGAGAGAGGCGGCGCCACCAAAACGGGGCCCGCGTTTCGCGATGGTTCGCTCCCGCTTATGAGCATTTTGATGGCCTCCAAGAGCCTGTGAACTATAATATTTCTTTTGACAGTATCTGCACGAAAAAACACGTGGTTCGGATTCATTACCTTGTGGACTTGGATCAATATTCGACGGATTTTGTGAAGGATTTTTGTCGAAAAGATTGAGTTCCAGCCCGGAATTTTGATCGAAATCCTTGCTTGAGAGGTTTAGATCCAACACAAGATTTGTATTTCTGTTGTTATCTTGATTCTGATCTTGTTCATCCATTTGCTTGGATCTTTGTTGGGCTGTTTAGGCATTATCGTACTGAATTGAGGCCTCCATACGATGATTAATCTACGTGAAGAAACTTTTTCACCTTTGTGTGTGATCAGTGATATTGGATTTCATACTGAGAAAGTTGTAATATTTATTGATTAGAAATAAATACTATGGTACTATGTATGGAAGGAGAATTTACAGTTACAAGAACTCATTATAGAAAAGATTAAGGAGAGAGGAAGAGAGAGAAATGCATGAATTGTGTTATCAAGATTTTGATTGGAACTCATTAGTAAATGCTATCTACTACCTATTATGATGGCATATGTACCTAATTTGAATGTTTTGTTCTACTTTATTTTTTGTCACTTTGTTGAAATTATTATAATATTTTTTGTCACTTGGGCTTTGTCCATTTTTGGGAATGCTTATGCTTGTTTTGATAAACCTAAGATGTCACAAACTTATTAAAAGGGGTAAGGATTTTAAATGTTAATTAGATGGATATGATAATTAAACCAATGAAATTGTTTTGTTGTTCAACATCATTATGCTTTGTGTGACATCCCACTCCCATTGTCGTCATTATGGGAGGTTGTATTATATATCTTGCACTTTGAGAAAGCACTATGTGAATTTAGTTTTTACGTGACAGTTAAAAAATTTTGATGTAAGGTACTTAATTTAACGTGCATATACGCGTCGGATTAGAGTGATAACTATTTGTTAGCCATCATGTTATTGGTTTTATAAA